ATTAGTAAAATTTCAATGTTGATCAGCCAAAATTTCTGGCAAAACGACCTGCCCCTTAATTTTTAGGATTTGCACACAGACTGCTATACGCACTATACATATCACTATACATATAGTACTGATCTGCCCATCTCTAGTAAGGCTTCAGTAATTGCATTTAAATCAGCTGATGATGCCTCTCCTTGAAGCTTTCATACTTGAATTCCATTATGTTTCTTAAACCTATGGAGCCTAGTGTTCCATGTTGCAACCCAAAAAAGGAAACAAAATGGTTATAAAGGTGGTTGCAATCATTTTTATATGATGCAAAGATGATAGCAACCATCATCAAAAGTTGCAGCCAGTATTATAACAAGTTTTGTGCATTTAATATAGGATCAGAGATTAAAATACAACATACACAAGAGCCATGTTTGTATAAAACACTTACACACAGTGTTGGGTTATATCATATTTTCTTGATGATCAATGGTCATGTGGTCATTTGGTCATTTGGTCATAAGTTTTGACCAATAGAAATTCGTAATTGAAATTTTTAAAAAAAAATTTTTTTTGTTATAAATAAATATGTAAATATGTCAAATAAAAAGAAGAGTCACAATTTTCGAGAATTTTTTGTCCTTGTTAAGAGTGATACAAATAATCAAATGCAAAGGTGGTTTGCATTTGTTGTATGCAAAGGGTCAGAGGTTTAGCTATTGCACAAGTAACATCAGGATGTTTTACTTCAAATAAAGCAAGCTTTGCCACAATCACCTTGCTAATTGTGAAAATTTTAAGTTAACTTATAGCAAAGAAGAAGTAGAAGGAATCTTATCATGTTCTGTACCTGGAGACTTAAAAAATAATGGTAAAGATTTTTCTTTCAAGTAAAATATTAAATTTTTGATTTTGATTATATAATTTAATCCATTTTTTAGATGATTCTAATGAAGACAATGACCAAAAAAATTCCAATCCATCATCTTCTTCTTTTACCACTACTGATTCTATGAAATGACAACAATCCATTACTAATTATTTTGCTTAACCATTTTCAACAAATGACAAAGCAAAGTTTGAACAATTATTACTTCATATGATAATTTCAAATAACTTATCCTTTACTTTACTAGAAAATCAAGAAACCAAATCATTGTTTGAATTTCTTTCTCTTGGGCTGTCCAACTCAAAGAATTATAAGTGAAAGAGTATTAAGGTCCTATCAATGGCAAGAGTACAAAATGATATCCAAATGAAAAAATCTTTAATCAATGAAAATCAAAAAGAAACTCATAAACTTCATTTATCAGCACCAATAGTTAATAATTGTGAAATCTATGAATCCAATGATGATAATATTAGAGGTTTGTGATTATAGTGAATATAATAGTAGCACTGGAATAGATTCCACATCAGAAGAAATAGATATCCAATCAGATGATGATGATGAAATTGAAGTCGCAAAAGGAGAACATTGGAATTCTATCATAAATGAATGGATAATAATGGTTCAACAAGAAAATCAATTTCATGATGATGATGATGAATACATGTATTCTTCAGAATTGGAAGTAGGGTTTGAATTAGGTGGAAGAAGAGTACATCCTGCAGAAGACAATTTGATGAAATGGTCATTAGAATCCCTTTTTATTTATGAATTGGAGTCACCAACTTTTCTGGGTAGTGATGTTATTTTTACTGGTGCTTGTTGAATTCCAAAACATTCTATTAGTTTAGAAAATATATAAATATATTTTTTTTTCTCTTTAGAACTTTTAAATAAAAATATTTCCATTTTTGATCTGCGCCAATCATGTTGCTTAATTTTATATGACCCTGTACTAGGTCATTGAATTGGATAAAATGACCAAATGACTTATGACCAGTCATCAAAGTCATATGTCATATGACTGGTCATTTTCCAACACTGCTTACACATTATATAAAAAGAATTTGAGTCCTCACCTCAAATGCAACAAGAATTTGACAATGGGCTTTATCATTATCTTAATAAAATAAAATTAAATGAAAAAAATCTAAGCATCATAAATGGCAGAATAAGTTTCAAGCTTTCTTTTGGTACTATTTTTATGACTGTAGCTAAAAATTGGCAGCTTAGATAGATTTTGAAATTTCATATTAAAAAAGTTCTTTTTGTTAGGATCTACATGAAAAATCTTTACATACAGGCACCCCAGCATAATATGGATATTAGAACAATAATAATGGGTAGTCTTGATATCAAAAAAATAAGAAAGATCATTATTTAAATCGGTATTGGATATGTCAAGAAAAAAAATAATTGAATAGATCAAAAGATTTCAACATGTAATAATAAATGAAAAATTTTAATTTTTGCCAAGTTATTATTGATTGATTATATTATTGATAACACAATTAAAATATTAAAAAAAATGCAAATTTTGCTTAGCACAGAGAAGAACACTTAGTCTAAGGTTTCTGGTCCAAACTGTTTTCTCAAAGCCCAAACTAGTTTGGGCAATTTGGGCTCAACATTTTTTATAAGCATGAACATTAAAAAACTATATGAATCAACTTGTTTTAACTTAAACAACTTTAAAATAATCTTGCCCAATTTCGGCTAGTAACAAAAAGTAGTTTGGTTTATAAAAAAATAATTTTTGCCCAAAGTATTTGGGCAATTTTGGCTACTAATAGAAGCAGTTTCGGCCAGAAACCTTAACTTAGTCCCTACAACTTTTATTGGTATTGCAGATCCTTTAACTCCTCCAAAAATGGAAATGCATGACCAAAAAAAAACAAGATGTAATTTTGAAGCTAAGATCTTTCTCTGCAAATATGTCATGTTTTTGTGGAGGAATTAAGTCTCAAAGTTGTATATACAAGTTTAACAAATTTATTATGTTAACCCCCAAAGTGACGTGTTACACACAAATTTTTTATATTAATTGGAAGAATCGAAAATTTTGAAATTTGTATGGTCTAGGGGTATGGGGGTTCAACAAGTATGTTACATAGTATGATTTTGTTGTTCTAAAACTGTCCACTATATCAATTTCATATTAGTCGCAGGACATTGCAGATCAAGTGTCATTCAATATAAACGTTACACAAAAAAATTATTGTCGTCCACTTCAAAAAAAAAAATCTCCGTTTTTCATGTAACAAGCGACTTTTAACCATAATAAATTTTTTAGAGCCAGACTGGGGCTTTTAACAACAGTTAAAAGAAAAGACTAGCTTAAATATTGGTT